AGAGAGCGGGCTGAGCGATGAAGGGAGCGCAGCGGGACTTTGGGGTGACAGAACCAGTGTGTAGCTCGACTGATGTGAGATTGCTTGATCACAGGTGTTTGTCAAGACTTGTAAAATGACTAAAGCCAGGCATAGTAACACATGGACCCAGGGCATCCCTGGAACCCACAAGGCAAGGCAAGTCTAGTGACATACCTGAACCCCATGTTTATAAAACACAAGGGGACGGGGAAGGGACGAGAGAGCAAGAGGGGAAGGGTGTGAGCAAAGTGCTGCCCTGGTCCCCCCCCCACTGCCACAGCCTCCTCCGTGCTGCCCTACCCCCCGCTGCCCCCCCCCCGTCCCAGAACCCCTCCACAATGTCCTCCTTCGAGCTGCCCCAGCCCCCCTCCACGCTGTTCCCCCTTGCACTGTCCCCGCCCCTCATGCTGTTCCAGAACCCTTCGTGCAGTCCCCCCGTGCTGCCCCAGCCCCCCCCCGTGCTGCCCCCACCCCCAGCACCGTCCCAGAACCCCTTCACACACTGTGCCCCCCTGTGCTGCCCAAGGCCCCCTCACGTGACCTCCCCCTCAGTGCTGTCCAAGCCCCCCCAGCACGCACTGTGCCTGAACGGCTCCCCACCCCCCACCCCCAACCCAGTAGAATTCAGGAGGAGCTCCCGCTAGACATCTAGGGCTGCTGGGCCTAGTCTCTGGAGGTGAAAGGCCTCGCTGAATATGGCCACACTGCCCCATGCCACCCATCAGCACCATGGACAGTGGCCCAGGAGCCCAAGCCTGTGGGCTTTATGGATGGAGAAAGACACTTCCAAAATCCCTTGGGCCTGGGGGCAGTGTCCACCGCGGGTTTCCCCAACCTTTGCCCCTGAGGTGGGGGGCTCGGGGGCTGTGTTGGGGAGCAGCTGGGCTGCAGGAAGGCCTGGCAGCCTCCCAGGGCTGCCCTGTGGCTCTCCAGTGGGCTGCCCTGGGTGATCCCAGGGCGGGGAGAGCCTGGCACGGTGGCCAGGCCGGAGGCACTCGTCCCCTCATGCCACTGGGTCCAAGCTGACACCGAGAGGTGCTGCTGTGTCCTGTGTACTGGGGCTTGAACTCGGGGCCTGGCCGCTATTCCTGTGCTCCTTTTGCTCAAGGCTGGTACACCTACCACTTGAGCCACAACTCCACTTCTGATTTTGGTGTTTAATAGGAAATGAGAGTCTCATGGACTTGCCTGCCTGGGCTGGTTTGAAACACAATCCTTCTATTGCAGCCTTGTGAGTTTCTGGATGGCAGGAATGAGCCACCGGCACCAGGCATCGAGGAAGAGGCTGCTTGTCAACTCAAGTCAGACAAGTTAGAAGTGTGCTAAAAGGCCCTTGGAGCAAGCAGGCTCTGTGATTGGTGGATGACTATGTCTATCTTGTTGATAAACACAGGTTTCCAGCCTGGGAACCGCCCTCTTAAATGCCTGCTTAATTGCTCCCTGATAATCAATTACAACACAGTCCATTAATTAAGCTAACGATGATGACCACCGTGGACCCTTGTCTGCTTACAGGAGCCATGATTCAGTCTTTGCCAACAACAGTGACTCCAAAGCTGTTAGGAAGGTGCCAGGGCACAAGTGTGTGTGGGGGAGCAGGGCACAGGTGTGTGTGGGGAGCAGGGCACAGGTGTGTGTGGGGAGCAGGGCACAGGTGTGGGGAGCAGGGCACAGGTGTGGGGAGCAGGGCACAGGTGTGTGTGGGGAGCAGGGCACAGGTGTGTGTGGGGAGCAGGGCACAGGTGTGTGTGGGGAGCAGGGCACAGGTGTGTGTGGGGAGCAGGGCACAGGTGTGGGGAGCAGGGCACAGGTGTGGGGAGCAGGGCACAGGTGTGTGTGGGGAGCAGGGCACAGGTGTGTGTGGGGAGCAGGGCACAGGTGTGTGTGGGGAGCAGGGCACAGGTGTGTGTGGGGAGCAGGGCACAGGTGTGGGGAGCAGGGCACAGGTGTGTGTGGGGAGCAGGGCACAGGTGTGGGGAGCAGGGCACAGGTGTGGGGAGCAGGGCACAGGTGTGTGTGGGGAGCAGGGCACAGGTGTGTGTGGGGAGCAGGGCACAGGTGTGTGTGGGGAGCAGGGCACAGGTGTGTGTGGGGAGCAGGGCACAGGTGTGTGTAGGGAGCAGGGCACAGGTGTGGGGAGCAGGGCACAGGTGTGTGTGGGGAGCAGGGCACAGGTGTGGGGAGCAGGGCACAGGTGTGGGGAGCAGGGCACAGGTGTGTGGGGGGAGCAGGGCACAGGTGTGTGTGGGGAGCAGGGCACAGGTGTGGGGAGCAGGGCACAGGTGTGTGGGGAGCAGGGCACAGGTGTGTGTGGGGAGCAGGGCACAGGTGTGTGTGGGGAGCAGGGCACAGGTGTGTGGGGAGCAGGGCACAGGTGTGTGTGGGGAGCAGGGCACAGGTGTGGGGAGCAGGGCACAGGTGTGTGGGGAGCAGGGCACAGGTGTGTGTGGGGAGCAGGGCACAGGTGTGTGTGGGGAGCAGGGCACAGGTGTGGGGAGCAGGGCACAGGTATGGGGGAGCAGGGCACAGGTGTGTGTGGGGAGCAGGGCACAGGTGTGTGTGGGGAGCAGGGCACAGGTGTGGGGAGCAGGGCACAGGTGTGTGTGGGGAGCAGGGCACAGGTGTGGGGAGCAGGGCACAGGTGTGGGGAGCAGGGCACAGGTGTGTGGGGGGAGCAGGGCACAGGTGTGTGGGGAGCAGGGCACAGGTGTGGGGAGCAGGGCACAGGTGTGTGTGGGGAGCAGGGCACAGGTGTGGGGAGCAGGGCACAGGTGTGTGTGGGGAGCAGGGCACAGGTGTGGGGAGCAGGGCACAGGTGTGGGGAGCAGGGCACAGGTGTGGGGAGCAGGGCACAGGTGTGTGGGGAGCAGGGCACAGGTGTGTGGGGGAGCAGGGCACAGGTGGGAAGCAGGGCACTGGTGTGTGTGGGGAGCAGGGCACAGGTGTGTGTGGGGAGCAGGGCACAGGTGTGTGTGGGGAGCAGGGCACAGGTGTGTGTGGGGAGCAGGGCACAGGTGTGTGTGGGGAGCAGGGCACAGGTGTGGGGAGCAGGGCACAGGTGTGTGGGGGAGCAGGGCACAGGTGGGAAGCAGGGCACAGGTGTGTGTGGGGAGCAGGGCACAGGTGTGTGTGGGGAGCAGGGCACAGGTGTGGGGAGCAGGGCACAGGTGTGTGTGGGGAGCAGGGCACAGGTGTGTGGGGAGCAGGGCACAGGTGTGTGTGGGGAGCAGGGCACAGGTGTGTGTGGGGAGCAGGGCACAGGTGTGGGGAGCAGGGCACAGGTGTGTGGGGGGAGCAGGGCACAGGTGTGTGTGGGGAGCAGGGCACAGGTGTGTGGGGAGCAGGGCACAGGTGTGTGGGGAGCAGGGCACAGGTGTGTGTGGGGAGCAGGGCACAGGTGTGGGGAGCAGGGCACAGGTGTGGGGAGCAGGGCACTGGTGTGTGGGGGGAGCAGGGCACAGGTGTGTGGGGGGAGCAGGGCACAGGTGTGGGGAGCAGGGCACAGGTGTGTGGGGGAGCAGGGCACAGGTGTGGGGAGCAGGGCACAGGTGTGTGGGGGAGCAGGGCACAGGTGGGAAGCAGGGCACTGGTGTGGGCACAGGGCACAGGCAGGGGGAGAAAGGCACAGGTTTGGGGGGCACGCAGGGCATAGGCGAGCAGGTCTCTGGGCTTAGGGGAGCTTGATGAGCTAGACAGGGATCAGGACAGAAACCAGCTCATGGAAGGAAGCCAGCCCATGGGAGGGATCATGGGGGGCACTGTCCCATTTGGTGTTGTTCCATAATCAATGATGAGGCAGGAACCTTGGGTGTGGGTGGGGCTGGGAAAGATGAATTCTAGTTATTTCCAGACAGGAGGAATTCCCCAGCATGGTGCTGACACCTGCAGGTCCCATGCAGGATGGGGTCCCTGGGGCCCGGTTGCCTGGAAGGGTAGTGATGGGGGGGCGGGTCCTGGGGAGACACAAATGGCCCCAGCTCCTTCAGGTTCTGGTGTCTGGCTGCTAACTTCCGGAATGGCTCTAACCCCTCCCCCCCTCAGAGAAACCAGCAAAAGGCACTTCTCCACTCTGCCCCTCTGTGTGCTTTGCTCACAGCTGGTGCTCTACCACTTGAACCATATTCTTATCCCTGCTTTTTGCTGATTAGTAACTAGAGGCAGATTCTCTGAGCCTGACTTGGATGAGATGTTCAGAGCTCCTCTGACTTAATTGTTTTTTAACCCAGTCTTAATCATCTTAGGGAGTTTATGAACACACACACACACACACACACACACACACACACACACACACACACACACACACACACACACACACACACACACACACACACACACAGCTGGCTTCCATAGAACAACCATGCAGAATTCACTCATGGGGCTCTAGCTTCTCCTGCTGGCTCCTCCACGTATCCTTCTCAAGCTCCTGCGAACCTCAGCCTTGTCCTCTCCTGGATCTTTGCTGGTAGCAGCGCTGGCCACCTGGGTCGGGAGAGCCACCCAGTGAGGCGCCAGGGTGGGTGCACTGGACACCACCTATGCTTCCTCCATGCTGTGGCTGTGGTGAGCGCACCCCGAGCATCTTGTGTGTATATGTAGAACGCTCCACAGGGCCTTTGCACTCTCCCACAAGTGCAACCTCACACTTAAAACCTCCCCTGGGCTTCTTTACAGAAACTACCAAAGGCGTCCGTCCCTTTTAGGTAGGCCCTAAACCATTAAACCCACCCGAGTCCTTTCTGCCTACCTTTTTCTTTTCTTTTTTAGATAAGGTCTCCTTCTTGTGCCTGGGTTGGCCTTGAACCACCATCCTCCAGATCTCTGTCTCTCAGGTGTGAGCCACTGTTTGCCAGGCCCCACCTTCTTAAGACCACAGGCCAGGGAACAAGGAGGGAAGTGGAGGAAGGGCCCCAACAGTTCCCAAAAGACCCCCCAAGGCCCTGAGGACACAGCTCCTCCTGGGATGAGGGGAGCCCTACCTGTGGCCCCCATCCGTGGCATGGGTACAGGATGGCCGTGTGATTCTCCAAGGGACCCTGGTCCAGGCAGACATCTTTTGCCTTGTTGTTTCGCAGCTACAAAGGAGGCCACAGGGTTGCCCGTTAGAGCCTGTGTACCGTGGCCGCCTGCCGTGGCCCACGCAGAGCCTCGTGGCACCGCCCCCGCCCCCGCCACGCCCCGGCCTCTTCCTCTAGAAGCAGTCTTTCCTGCGGGTTATTGAACCACTGCTCTCAGTGTTTGCAGGGCCTGCAAGATGGTCGAAACTAGCACAGCGATGTGGTTAACTAAGCTTCAAGTTAAATTCAATATTTTTGCTCCAAGAAAACAAATAGCACCTAGATGAACAAATTTGCTATCAATTCTCCATCCCTTGTTCAAATTCCTGGCTCAAAACACCCACACACATTGCTGGGAATTGCTTTCTAAAAAGCGTGTTTCAATCTGCAGTCTCCCCAGGAGGTGTGGGACCTTTCACATCACCAGGCCTGGCAGGGACAGGACAGGGACAGCACCGGCGCTGGCCCCATGCCAGGCTTTATGACTTTATCCCTCCCAACAAGGACCGCTTCTTCTTGGGGTGAAAGAAGTAGCTCATGCCCTCTTAGGATGAAGGAAATTAAACGCTCCTTGAGACGTAAGCCATTTGTACGTTCCTATTGCGTCTCACGCCCTCCTTGCATTTGCTCTATTTTTCTCTGGGAAGTGTTTCATTTTGTGATTTCAATCGATTTTTTCAAATTGCCGTCAGTGGCCGTCAGTGTGCAGAACTCATTGCACATTAGTGGCTGGTCCGCTCGTCCGTGAGGATTTGCAGCCTGGAGGCCCTGGATTGCTACTGCATTGTTTCCCGGCCAGCGCAGGCAGGGGCAGGGCTGCTGACCGACTGCAGCCCAGCTCTGCCGCTCTCTCCCCGGGCAGGGCCTTGCTAAGCCCTCCCCTCAGAGCTCAGAGCCCTCCCCTCTCCTCTTCTCCCTGGCTGTCTACCTGATATGTGGCTGAGAAGCATTGGAATGGGTTTGCTTCCTAGAGAGTGAGGCTATCTGCCCAATTGTTTCAGGAAGAGTCCTCTCTGCCTGTGGTGTTTGTGATTCCTTTATATTTGGTCTTACTTTGATAATTTTTAAAACAAACACTACATCTGGTTTTGAAGAACGGAGAGGGGAGTTAGGAGTTAGGGCCTGTGGGGAGTGAGGACTGGTAGACCCTCACAGGTGTGCCGCAGGTGCAGGGCTCTGGTCCATCCAGGCGCTGGGCTGTGCCCGGGGTCTGGGGTTCTCTGTGCTCCTCCCCCTCTGCACACTCTGCTTCCTGCCCCCCGCCCCGCCCCAGAGGGTCCTCATGGCAAAACTCCACGGGCAGCTCACCCACACCCTCCGCCACAGACAGCAGCTGCACCTGTCACCCAGCTTCCATCTGGGCATTTATCTCGGTTGCTGCTCACCCCTAGCCAGCTCTCCAGAGGAGAGAGGGAGGGAGGCAAGGAAAAGAGAAAAGAGAGAGGGAGGGGGAGATGAAGAAAGAGAGGAAAGGTGGGAAGGTGGAAGGAAAGGAAGGAGAAGGGAAGGAAGGGAGAAAGGGAAGAGAGGGAGGGAGGGAGGGAAGGAAGGGAGGAAGAGAATGAAGGCAGGGAGGGAAGGAGGCAGGGAGGGAGGGAAGCCAAGGAAGGAAGGCAGGGAAGGAGAAAAAGGAAGGGAAGGAAGGCAGGGAGGGAAGGAGGAAGGGAAGGAAGGCAGGGAGGGAAGGAGGAAGGGAAGGGAGGCAGGGAGGGAAGGAGGAAGGGAAGGGAGGCAGGGATGGAGGCAAGGAAAAGAGAAGAGAGAGAAGGGAGAGAGGAAGAAAGAAGAAAGGAGTGACAGTGGAAGGAAAGGAAGGGAAGGAGGGAAGAAGGGGGGAGGGAGGAAGGCAGGGAGGAAGGAAGAGAAGGAAAGCAGGGAGGGAGGGCAGGAGGCAGACTCCACACCCCTAGGGGCTAGGCCCATGTTACCTCCCCGTAGGCCACGGTGTTGTTGTATCTTCTCATCTCGGGGTAGACGTGGTCCAGGTACCACTGGAAACTCTTACACTTCAAGCTTTTCCGCAAAGCTCTTCTCTCTGAAACGTCACCTATGTCGATCCCTGGGTTCTAGATACAGAGAGGTGGAGGGGCATCAGGACAGACAGATGGACGGACGATGGGGCTGGCTGGGCACAGGGAACACAGGGAGGGGGTAGGAGCATGGAAGGACTGTGGGGCATGGGGGGGTCCAGGGAGCATGGGGTGCGGGGGGGAGCTGGGGACACAGGATGGCTGGGGGGCCCAGGGGGACTGGGGGCACAGGAGGCCGCGACCCCTTCCCAGGTGCCCTTGGCTTGCACAGGAGTTTTGAGACCTGCTGGCGTTACCCACATCCCCAGCTGTCTCCCACTCTCCTTGGCAGCCATCGAAGCCAATTATTAGAGGAATTATTTGATTAAGACAAGAAAAATCAATGCTATAACCTCCCGTCTTCCTTTCCCATCCATATGCAATTTCCCCCTTTGCCAACTCGTTGTGGAGTTCATTATATGCAGAAAGGAAAATAATTTCCCATCGCAGAGCTTGTAATGGCGCTCTAATGAATAATTCACTCTGCTTTTGCAGAAATGAAGCTGGGATGGGAAACAGCACCTAGACATAACTCACTGTCTGGGCCATAAGATAGGCCTTGAGAAGCAGTACTTCACTCTTCGCTCAACTATAATTAGCACGATGAGTGGACATGGTCACCCCTAAAATGTGTGGTAGAGCCCAGGGGACCAGCAACAAATGCAAGGCCCTCACTGCCTGTGGCTTCTTTGTGGCAGTTTTGGTTCTTCACAACCAAACGCGGCTCCAAGTATGAAAGGACCTCATGCTTCTACTCCTAGCTATCAGGAGGCTGAGATCTGGAGGATCACAGTTTGAATACAGCCCAAAACATCTTCAACTAAAAATGATCTTCAACCAACCAGTAAAAATCTAGGCTGAAGGTATGGCTCAAATGGCAGAATTATCTCCCAGATGGAAGAAAGCCAAGCGAGAGCTCAAGGACTCCAAGTTCAAACTGTGGTACCATATTAAATTTATCCTAGAAAGAATATGTAAATTTTAAGTAAGTTTCACTATAGTTTACTGTTAGAACTGTTCTATTTTATGACTAATTGTTATGACTTACTGGGTCCCAGGTATAAATTAAATTTTATAAAGATGTGCTGTGCATGCATAGTAAAAAAAAAAAAAGGTCAAACAGGTGTAAGCATCATGAATAAAATTAAACGAAACACCAATTCTCACATTATGTTGCTGGAACAGAATCAAATGAGATAATGGAAAGAAGGAACTTCGGGGTCAGCAAACTGCTACCTTTCATTATGTGGTAACAAAGTGTCCAAGTACAGCTCAGGACGGACTATCCGGAAGTCATTTTCAGTTCATGTTCCTTCTTTCTATTTTCATGAGATAGGGTTTCCCTATGCAGCCCCAGAAGCCTCAAAAGTGCTGAATAACCCAGCTAGACTTGAACTCCCGAACGCTGGGATTACAGGCATGCATCACCAGATCTCAGTTCTTCAGAACCTATTTCACAAGTCTTAACAGTGACCCAAGCTGTCTTCTCACGTAAACTTCACATTTGAAAGTGTTTCCACTGCGCTGGGCTGGGGCACCCAAATACAAGAGGCTGCCGTCTCCTGCTGGGAACTGGCCCAGGAACCATCCCAGGATACTGGCTTGGATAAGTGACTGCTCTGGATGGATGGGAAACCCCCAGAGGCTGCAGGTGCAGCCCCCCCTTCCCTGCCCCATGCCATGGAGGAGGAGGAGGGCCCTGTGTCCTGTGCCTGGCCCTGCCTGGAGCCCTTGTGAGGCTAAGGACTTGTTGCTTACCACCACCACCCCCAAAGCTGAGGAAATGCACATAGATAAGAGTCTGAAAGCTGAGGAAATGCACATTGATAAGGGAGTCTCAAAGCTGAGGAAATGCACATAGATAAGAGATGTGTTTGACAAAGACACAAGAACAGCATGGAAGAGAGAGCTGAGATTCCTTCTGTGGGTACACTGGGGCTGGATCTCAGGGTCACAGCTGTGCTGGGCAGGCACTCTCCCAACAAGCCATGCCGCAGTAGCCTGGGGCTCCTAGCAGGCATCCAGGTGCTGTCCTGTTGCATGGGTTCTCTGTGGCGGGCCTCTAGGGATGGGCCTCTCCGAGCTCAGGACTCAGCTTTTGGAGGGAAGGAAGATGTGGGGGACATGTGTGGGTGTGTGGGAGGGCGGTTGGGCTTCCAGGGGCCCATGTGAGAGCGGGTGAGAGGCAGGTGACCAAATCTGGGCTGGATGTCTGTCTAGGAGTGGGGCTGTGAACGAATGGCAAAGGACCTGGATCACCAAGACCCCACGGATCTCTGTAGGTGCCCTGCACCTGTGCCAGTGTAAAGCAGGGGGCTACCTTGACCTCTGGGAACCTTCTGGGAGGATTCAGAACTGTCCACACAAATATCTTTCTGAGAGGGAAGCACTAACTTATGGGAAGAGCTCATAGGGATGGGGTGAGGGTGGGTGGGGTGGGGTGGGAGAGGGGGATGGAGTGAGGATGGGTTGGGGTGGGGTGAGGGGGGGGCAGGGTGGGGGCGGGGCGAGGGTGGGGTGGGAGAGGGGGCAGGCTGTGTCTGGCTGCAGTGGGCGGGGTCTTACCTCCAGTGGCAGGTTCCACGCGATGTACACGTGGGACTTGTAGTCGTCCATCCACACCTCAGCCACTCGCAGCGCGTTCCTCTTGGTGTAGAAGCCGATGTTGCTGTTGTACGGCTTCTTCTTCCGCTCGATGTGTGCCACACGCGAGCAGGGGAGCACCTCCATGCTGCCCCCACACAGCCACACCTGGGGTACAGCGAGCCCGTCATCCCAGGGGACCCCAGAGTCCAGCACTCCCCGAGACAAGCCTCCCCCACAACCATGGCTGACCCAAGGCAGCGCAGTGAGAAACCCTGTCTGCCATGCACCACCACCGAGAGTGCTGGGCTGCTTGTTACCGCAGCGCCACAGCTGCCCAGGTGGCTGGGGGGAGGGGCTTCCGCTCCAGGCCCCCCAATCCCACGGCTCCCTCCCTAGCCTGACCATGCATCTCTCCCCTGTCAATCTCCATCTCTGTCTCTATCTCTGATTGGATCTCATGTTTTTGCCCAGGCTGACTTGGTACTGTGCTCCCCTGGCCTGTTCCTCTCACGTGGCTGGAACTGCATGAACCACCGTGTTTAGTGGCCTGGTCTTGGTAAGGAGGCCTTCCTTGTGGCTGACGGTTTAGGCCCATCTTGGCCAACCGCAGGGATGAATGACACAGAATGGCCTGGGCTGTGGGAGGCGCAGCAGAACTCAGCCTTTTGTCTATAGGTTCAAGCAGGTTTGAGAGCAGGGCTCCTGGCTGGAAGGATGGTTCCTCCTAGGGTCCTGTGGCCTCTTCTGGGAGGGGCCATCTAGCGGGGGGGCCCACCTCCTTCTCCTGCCTCCCTCCCCCCTCTTCCCTCTCCCCACAGGCTGTGGGCTGTGTCTTCAGGTGCATAATGCCTCCTTTTCCTCTGAACTGGGAGGCCCCGCAGCTGTCCTCACAAACTCCCACAGAAATGCATCTCGATTGGCTTTGTGTCTCACAGCTTCTGAGAAGTAGGATTTCCCGCTGCAGCTCCAAACATGCTTCTCAACTCTGGACCCAGGGCGGTGTGGGGCTCCACTGCCAGTTGGCATACAGCTGGGGATCAAGCGGACCCAGCCTCACCTCACACCTGTCATCACAGCTACTCAGGAGGCTGAGACCTGAGGATCATGGTTCAAAGCCAGCCCAGGCAGGAAAGTTCTTGAGACTCTTATTTCCAAACTTGTGACCACCAAAAGGTCACAAGTTTAAGTGTGGCTCAAGTGGTGGAGTGCCAGCCTTTGGTCAAAAAGCCAAGTGTGAGAGCATGGGGTCCTGAGTTCAAGCTCTGGTACCATACACACATATACATAAGATAACCAAGTCAAAAAAGGGCTGAAGGCATGGCTCAGCAGTACAGTGCCTGCCTGCCAGCGTAAGGCCCTGTGTTCAAACCCCAGCCCTGGAAACTCAAATAAACCTACCAACCAACCAGCCAATCAACCACTGAAAGGCCTCTATGCGCCTCTCCCCTGCCCTCCCCCATTTCAAACTGCAATGTGCTGCACCTTTAGCACTCACCCAGGAAGACTGTGGCTTGAATGATGAAGCCTTCCAGGGCCCCCGGCCTTAGAGCTGCTTGCAGCCACCATTCATTGCTGTTTCTCTCCCAGAGCTCTGGGAGCCCCAGACGCAGGGTTTACAATGGCGGCTCCTGGTCCCCACCCAGCTCCCATTTTCTGGGCTCTCTCTCACATTGACAAACCTGCCCCAGCAGTGAGCTCATAGCAAGAGATCATCTTTAACATTTTAAGGCAGTTCTTTCTGATACTTTTGTGTCTTGGCTGGTCTCTCTGTGACCAGCTAATCTTCTGGGCTTGGGATCCCTGTGAACAACTGCAGATCGCCACTTCCTGCCTATGAACTGCAGTCACTGCCCCAGCTGAGGCTGGCTCCATACAGAGAAGCAGGGAGAAGGAGGCGCCCATCCGCTGAGCTCCATCAATGCCAGAGCCAACAGCAGGGAACAACTCTGTGTCCCGAGGACATCACACCTTTTCTACAGTGGCAGGCAAGGCACTGCTCCAGGGGAACCCAGTGAAGCCTGGCCCATGGAAGGTTCTAGAGAATGGAGAGTGACATGTGCACAGGACAGTGTTGAAGGACACGATGCGGTCAGCCGTCCCCAAGCACGCACACATTCCAGATCTCTCAGAAATGGACATGAGTGGAGAGTGGGCCCCAGCCTGAGAGGCAGGACTCCCAAGTCACAGAAGAGGAGCTAAGGGCTTCTAACCCTGTGTCCTTCCCACCACAGCCCCTGCTCCTGGGGCAGGAAGACCCATCCCTCTATGGTAGAATTCCTCAGCCTTGTGCCAGTCAGAGTTCTGTTCTGGGAGCTTCCTCTGGACCCATCCTCGAAGCCAGCTCACCTAGCAGTCCCTCAGCATCTACCTGTCCAAAGTCAGAGAGAAGTCTTTGTGCCAGAGCTTCCCAGAAAGCCCCACTTCTTTACAACAGTGGTTGTACAGCAGATTTTCTATTGACATGTGTTAGTTATGCAAGGCGGAGTGGGGAGGGGGTGCTCGCTGTGGCAATCCACACATCCACGTCCTTCTTCTGAAAACTGAATACATCTGGGTATTCAGGATCACAAAGGAAACCAGTGGCGCTGAGGCGCAGTGATAGAATGTTAAACCCCCTGGCCCCTGGCCTCTCACGCGTGATACAGCCACGCAGTGCCCCGTCTCCTGTCATCGTTGATGTGAGAAGAGCAAGACTACGCAGTTGGCCTTATGTGACTACAACCGGTTCCCAAGAGAGCAACTTTCCAAGAACTAAGGCTTACTGTGGCTCAGATTTGAGTTCACTGAGGGGGGGGGGGGGGGGCGGGGAGCTGTGGTAGTGAGGATGTGCCACAGCAGAATGCGAAGGAGCAGAACCATGTCTCTCTCAGGGCTGGGGAGCAACACAGAAGAGGCCTGAGTCACAAGGTCCCCTCTGAGGTCCCAGAGCCCTCAGCCTCAGCTCCCAGAGCACTGGGGATGGAGCTCACATGTGGAGCTTCGTAGGGAGCTGGAGACCACAGCCACAGTGGGTACCTGCATATCTCAGGATGGTCACAGGAATCAGAGTGCAATGGGAAAATGTCCATGGTACATGGAGCTTGGGGCACAGCCCAGCTCACCAACAGAATCAGTGCCTGGGTTCCAAGCATGAGCAAATGCCGACACCAAGAGGAAAGCAGAACAAATAAAGCAAGTGTTTTCAGTTCCCATCCCAGGTGATTGAGCCCTGCCTGAGTGACTAGGATTACAGATGTGAGCCACCAGCGCCTGGTTTCATATGAATTGAATTCAGATTTCAAGACTTTTAGCTGGGTGCCAGTGGCTCATCCTGTAATCCCACCTACTCAGGAGGCTGAGATCTGAGGATTGTGGTTTAAAGCCAGCCCAGGTAGGCAAAGTCCATAAGACTCTTATTTCCAATGAACCACCAGAAAACTTGAAGTGGTACTGTGCTCAAATTGGTAGGGCGCTATCCTTGAGTAAAAAAGTTCAGAGACAGTGCCCAGGTCCTGAGTTCAAGCTCCATCACACACACACACACACACACACACACACACACACACACACACACACACACACACAATTTCAAGAATTTTTTTCACCTCTCGTCACAAACAGGTTTTATGAGAGGCAAAGCAGGCAGAGAAGGTGCTTGATTTTCATTCACCGGAGAGGGAGAGGTCTCTGTGGATAGTTTCATTATTTTCTCCCCTGCAAAAGGCCGGTGCTAAGTGATTGATGATGACATTTTTGATTGCAAGAACAGTGGCCGCAGTAGATCACACGCACACACAAATTCCAAAGGGAGTGCCACACACACGTCTCATTGCCGTCGGCTTTCTGCATTCAAAGATGAAAGTTATTTTGCTCTTCTTTGTATTTCTTCTAATTTTCCAAACAACACAATTTCCAGATGGCAAATGATGACCTGGTTCACAGGGAAGGTGTCCAGCACCTAAACATGGAAAGGCTGTGTGCTTCCTGTCACTAGCCATGTCTTCCTCTGTCCTTTGATGGGATCCCACAGATCAAGCACTTCAGAAATCTCACAGGTACAAGGCCTTGGGCGTGCTACACATTTGCACTCCAGCTTCTCCACACAAGCTGGGGGTCACGTGCTGTGCCCGCTCAACCAACAGTTCACAGATTGTTGTTCTCAGCATAGTGCTGTGGTTTGGGCAGGTTTAAATGTTTCCAGGTTGCTCATGACCATGCATCTCCCCAGCAGAGGTGGCAGGTAGCTCGGCCCCATCGGCCCAAGCCAAGCAGCCCCACAGCCCTCCCTGTGCAACTACTCCATCAATGTGCAGGTGTCTGGAGGTGCAGCAGAGGCCAGAGCCCAATGGACAGGCCAGGCCCAGTGACCAGGATGATGGAGAGCTGTCATCTCAGGGCAGATCTGGGAGGTGGTGTGGCCTCGGCTGCACTGTCTCTGGCTGTACACTGGACAGAAGGCCACAGCTCAGTGAGCCCGGGTATCTCCCTGGAGGCCATACCACATGCTGTTCAAATCTCCTTTGAACATGTTCTCTGCAGATTCCATGGACAATGAATGCTATTAGCTGGGCAAGGTAGTCTATGCCTGTAATGCTAGCCACTCAGGAAATGAAGATGGGAGGATTGCAGTTTGAGGCCAGCCTGGGGAAAGAAAAGTAACCCAGACCCTGTCTCAAAAGACAAGCTGGGTGTGGTGGTGCATGCCTGTACTCTCAGCTACATGGAAGGCCATGGGCTGGAGGACTGTGGTCTGACGCCCTGTGCTAGGCAATAGCATGAGTCCCTATCTGAATAGTAAGTTAAAGGACAAAAGAAAGGTTAGTTGTTGTGTGGCTCAGGTAGGAGAATGCCTTGCCTAGAAAGAGCAAGGCCTTGAATTTAGTCCCCAGTGCCATCAAAAATTTAAAAAATTAAAGATGATGCTCATGGGTCTCATTTGCAGGATCTAGACTTAGAGGCCTGGCCTGGCACCAAGGGCAAGTTACTACACCAGAGGCTCTGCCCTAGGAAGGCCCAGGCCCGGCTGACTAATCCCAGCACCAAGAGGTGCCTGGACCACAAGTGTTCTCGTTGAGACCACAGCTGGGCCTGCCCACTGCCCGAGTCACAGTGGAAGGTGGACACTTTTCTCTGTGCATGCGTGCATGCGCACTGACAGCAGGAAGACTCTACTCCCACTGTGTGTG